AGCCGAAGGTGTGTTTGCCGGATTCACCCTTGGGTTGTTCACCCTGGGGTCAGCCGGTTGGTGGTTTAGCCTGGCACTTGGGTTGTTCACCCTCGGTGCCGGCTTGGTGGTTTTTTTAGTACGTGTGTTTTTAGTATCCATGATGTGTTTGGTATACTATTCATCTCCTTGTCCTTCCACCCTCCTTGGAGCCCTCAAGTGGGGACGCCGCGGCAGAAGGCACACGACGCCAGAAGTAACAAGGAAATATAGAGCTCCCTCCCTGGCAGAAGGCAGGCCGAACTAGGTAGGAAGACTTGGTCGTCCCACCCGTCGTCCACCCCCACCAAGGAAGAGCTCTCGCCCAGCAGCCCTCTGACGGGATACTACAGCCGATTGACCAAAGGTGGCTAGCCTTCAGCCTCCCGTGTAAAGAGAAATCCAGGCCGAAGCAGTGTGTTGCCTTTCAGCTCAACTACCAGGATCCCTTCATCCTCCCTTACGGGTCCCCGCACACGGCACAAACATGCGGGTGGTTGCCCCCCCTCCCCCTCACTCTCAGTCTTTGTTGATAGTGAGGCCGCAGGCACCAACCACTTAGTGTCCGCAGTAGGTGTGGATGGGATAGGAAATGGGAAAGGATAGGTTTTGTGGGATGGAATTGCGTCTGGGTGTTTCTGTTATATCTGTTTCGTATCAGGGGATATCAGACCTAAAACAGGCGGCAACCACGGGAAGGATGACACCCAGACTTGCCATGGGGATCTACACGACTGTTGCGCTCTCCCCCATGACCATTCGCCGTGCACGCCCTCCGGACAGGAGGGCGTACCAGGATTGGATCTGCTCCAGGCGATCTTGGCCTATTGGAGCACACCCAACCCCGCCCTAAAAATGATGTAATTTCCATACGAAATTTCAACCCCTTCTAGCCCTTCAGGCTCTAGACTATCTCTGTACCAAATTTCATTTAAATCGGTTCAGTAGTTTAGACGTGATTGCGTAACACAGACAGACAGAGTAATATTACTAAGGATATACTTTATAATATTAGTAAGGATTATTTGACGAACTTTCATTAACTACAACCGTTCATCCCTTATTTTACCCCTAAGGGGGTGAACCCCCTTAGGGGTAAAATTTGCAAACATCCTTTCTATCCTTCATCAACAGCCTTTAATAGTCCACTGCTGGACATATGCCTCTCCTTTGAAAGGAGGTTTTGACCTATACCACACTGGCCAGACGGGTTTGTGTCATGTTTTACTTCTCTTTGCAGTGCTGTTGGCCCGCGTAGTTTGCTCCCTTAGTCGGTTCTTACGACACCCACGGGATGATTAGAGGTGGTGGCACTTCGTATTCTTAATCCGTCACCACACGGACCATCCTTAGTAGGTACTTATAAAAATAATAATAAAAAGCATCAGCTGCCAAAATTTCAGGTTTGTAGCCCCAGTGGTTAGGGCTTTCCGTTAATGAATCAATCAGTCAAGGCAAGTAATTTTATATCTAAATCCTCATCATCAGATCATGAAATCTTTTCCTTGTTTTCTTAAGCTAAAAAAATATATCTACACGAAGGCGTCATTTGTCTCACGTAGCTTGTAGCCGCTTTTTCTCTCTGGCGGACTCCTCACCGGCTGACCCAGTGGGAGAGATTGATGAGATAACCTCAGGGCGCCTTTATAAGAAAAACAGATGTGTGTGCGTGTGGGGAAACCTACGGACTCACTAGAGGAAAACAACTCACACCTCAGTTATACATACATGTATATTTCAAAAAAAAAAAGTAGATCAAATTTACAATAAGAAATTAAATAAATTAATCAGTGTGGGTACAAGAAAAAAAAAAAAAAAAAACCGCAGCGGAGCGCGTTAGAGCCGAGCTGATGGTGCTCGGTGCCTCCTCGTCGTCCCTCCAGGAGGTTACTTCCTCTTCCGCCCGAGTCGGCTATTTATATTAGATATGGATAAAAGTTTAACAATTTGCAATTATAAGTTTAAGTACGTAACTCTTGGGTACGGCTGTCCGCTTGCGTCGTGAGCCGCGCAATCACCAGCTTTGCCAGAGGGTACCGAGAAAACTTGAGTCTGAACCAGAAGGCCACAAAAGAGCAAGCACGCCGTCTGAGACTGACCGTCTTGACCCCGAAATCTGGGACCCTACGAATGGATTAGCACTCATATAAATTAAACAGGTTCCAGAAAACAAATAGGTTTAAGTAGAATTAAGACCATACTCACCACTTTAGTGGGTAGATTTGAACAGACTACATATTACGAAATTCAAATTACACGACAATCAAAACACTATTTAGGTTGAAAGACACGAGATAGCAGAGTGTCTCTCGTGGTAGAAAGCCGGACTTATATATCCTCGGTTCAGGAATCTTCCAGAAATTAACCCTTCCTCATCATTTCACTTTGACATTTAAATTGAGAAAGAAAACAACGCTAACAAAATCAAAAGTAACTTGCTTTCCACCATAGCTGAACACTCTCAACACCTATACAATTTGACATGACAGAATAACAAAACAGATTAAAAAAGGAAGTCTTTTTATCAATCTATTACGTCTCAAACAAACGCCATCTAGTGGTCCGAAAGTGAACGAAGGAGATCAATACCGTAGCTACAAACTACTTTTGATAAATCAACAACAAAGCGATGCGGCCAACAGGTGTCGCTTTTATCAATACCGTACGCATTACTAATATACCAAAAAAATAACTGTTACAAGCTATTGTTGCTTACTGCATTTAAAAGATTGCAAATATTGTACAATTAACTATTGAAACCCGTATCTCATCGTCATCACTTTTAGAAGAATATTTTATTCTAAGATTCATATCAATAATCATGTCGGTATTGTCTTGCAGATATGAATCTGCAAGACAATACCGACATTTTCATACAAACTTTAATTGCTGGCTGATATTGCATCTACTGTAGTATTTTTTCCATGTACAACATCACCTCTCTTAAACTTATTTTAATTGAATAAAGTAGATAGTCATAAATTGTTCTTCTGACGTTCAATAGTGTGCCTGAGCTTTTCTTTGTTTTTCAGAAAAAAAAACAATCAATGTCAGTTGTAAAAGTAGTATAAAAGTATTAACAAAGTGTAAAGTAAAGCAGGGACAAAAATCGTATTTTAAATCTAAAAAAGTTTTTTCCCATCTCATTTTTCACAGTATTTTGTCCGTAGGAATTTTTAAACAACGGACGGTTTTGACTTTAATTGATTATTATTTTTAATTAGATCGCCAACTTTGTGGCATCACTAGGCAGTATCGACCTGCCATTTAGAAAATAAAGAATAGCAGAGTACATTATGGAGGGTCGAGGTAAGGAGAACGGACTCAAATGGGGGAACAGTTAAATAAGTGTCTACTGTGTCAAGCTATAAACTGTATATAATAATCCGACCAGAATAGAGCTAGTGTAGCCACCAGGAATGACATGAAAATAGCGGTTATTGCCGGAGTGAAGTTTGCCAAATTAAAAATTGATGTCTTTAAATTATTTATTACACGTATTTTGAGTTTGACGGACACTTTTCATAAACAGACTGTTCTCTTTAAGGGCCCGTCCACACGATACGCAACCAACGCACATATACATAGATGTAAGGCCGGTTTAAAAGCAAGTAAACCAATCCGTTTAAAACGAAAAAAACGTTTAAAACTGAATTAAACCATTTTTTTCGTTTTAAAACGGTTCTTGTGGATGACTAAGAAAAACATAGTCAATGTTTTTCTTAATTATAACTACATTTTCTTAATTATACCGAGGTAGGGATAAGACGGAGTACCTATAAACTGTGTACAGATTTTTTATGTGTGTGATATACCGATGATGTGTGATATACTGATATTGATATACTTAGCGGGTTTAGTTCTAGTTGGTCCGTTCGACCAAGCGTAGGTATTACCTACCTAAGCTGTAAAAAATCTATTGATAAGTTAAAAACTCTGTTTTGGTAAATAAACATTTTTTTTATTGTTTTCAGACGATATTAATAATCAATTTGATTCGGTTTAAAACCAAACTCACGCTCTCGCACTCTAGTTGCCGTCACTCGCGACGACACTCGAGACATAACGTTGTCTATTTCATGCTCAAGTAAAACGGACAACATTGTGTTAATGATGTCTTCTAATTTAGTGTGTGTTATGGAATATAATAAATAAGTAGGTATAGGTAGGTATACCTACATACTTAAGTTTTCGTGTGGTAGGTAATGTAGGTAGTTACTTTCTATTGAGTTTCTATAAACTAATTAAACCGAAACATGACGTCAGGTGATCAAACATTGCCCACAATGAAGTGTATAACAGTTCTTTTATTTTTGAAGTCGAGTTTTCAACCGTTTAAAACGATTTATTTGGGTTTTAAAACGGCAACATTTTTTTTAAAACGTTTTAAATCGGTTGTTTTACATTTATAAATGCACATAACTCAAGGGTCCTAATAAGAAAGACTCCGAGCGAGCGCACGTTCTAATTATTGCGAGAAAATTAATGAAATGCCTTCCTGTGTATTTCGATAGTGCACAAATTACGACAAAAAGATAAATGAATATCATACCACATTTAAGTGTATAGATTTTCATATTTTTATTTAAATTAATCTAAAATGTATGTATGGTGTTACGGCAAAAATTGTTTGTGCACTCATTATGAATATAACGTATCTTTCTTAAAATATCATTGGAAAGTCCTATAAAGACGCGTCCTACGCACGGTGAAATATTGCTGTACGTGCGGCGGGTCCATATCGCTACCCTCCATCCATAGAGTAAACATAAACTAAAATATAGAGTTTAGTAGTGAAACTTTTCAGATTATACAAACATCTCTGGTTTGTAGTGTTATATTTTATCTGTGTCTAACACTAGTAATAATACTAAAAGACAATAGTGGTGTTCTGTGTTTACACCTAACCTCTAATTTTGCTTGTGTTGTGTTTATGAAATACTAGAAATAGAAATTGGCAAGCAAGACACACTATTCTCACTATGAAAGACGTAATAGATGTGATGGCTTTACAGAATACCCGACGTGAACGGCGCTTACCTGATTATCGTAGTGCCTCAGGTCATAGTTTGGCCACAAACTTTATTTTTGAGTGCGGCATAAAACTTGGATTACAACCGGCAACAGTTGCTACTGCTGCTATATTTTACCATAAGTTCTTCAAAGAAGCCGATAAAAACGATTATGATTGTTATGTCATATGTACCGCTTGCCTATGTGCAGCGGGAAAATCACGAGATGAACCTGTAAGGCTGAGAGATGCTGTAAATGTTGCTCATAATTCTATTAATCGTGGTGCAGGACCGCTGGAACTGGGTGACGAATATTGGTCATGGCGTGGTGCAGTGGCTCAGGCAGAGTTACTAGTGTTGAGACTACTAGGGTTTAACCTCGATGCTCCATCTCCACATAGATATCTGCTTCACTATTTGCGCTCGCTTCAAGAGTGGTTTCCGCCGTCACAGTGGCGTTCGGCGCCCGTGGCCCGAACGGCAATGTCGTTTCTACAAGACTTTCACCACTCTCCATCAATATTAGATTACAGAGCACCTCACATAGCCGTTGCATCACTAACTTTAGCACTACACGTTCTTGGAGTTTCTGTACCATTGGCATCAATGTTAGATGATGATGCGGCATGGTATTCGGTAAATATTAATGACTCATACATGAATAATAAATATTTTTTCTTGTTTTAATAGTACAGAACATTAAAAAGGATTATATGTTTACAGGTATTCACTAAAGACTTGCAAAAAGAAAAAAATTGGGAAATAATGGAGAAAATTATGCAAGTTTATAGCAGGGAACCAGAACCTATATAGCTATTGCGACTTTGATTAATTTTGTGTGCTGTTCAATAACACCTCTAAGTTAGGAAATGTATTCAATTTTGGATATCACTATGTGAAAACTTCTTACATGTTTAACAAATATAAATATTTAGAACTTGTATTGTGTTAATAACTTATGTATTAATATCCCAATTTATACTTTTTTAAGACAAAGGCTGCTCTCCTGCTCCTCTAATATTGCCTCCGTCATTCTTCATTACACAAGATGTCATTTTATTAATTTATTTCATCATGAACAGCCTTTAATAGTCCACTGCTGGACATAGGCCTCTCCTTAGAAAGGAAGTTTTGGCCTACTATACCACACTGGCCAAACGGGTTGGGGTTGGGTTGTTGGGTATAGGGTTTGTGTCAAGTTGTCCTTGTCTCTGCAGTGCTGTTGTCCTGTGTAGTTTGCTCCATTGGTCGCCTCTTACGACACTAACGGGATGAATAGGGGTGGTGATAGTCTGTAATCTTAATCTGGCACCACACGGATTTCATAACATATAATGTTCGCACTTCACTTGGGTCATATTACCAGTATTGGACCAGATGATTGAAATGATGGCAGTTTACTAAACCATGTCTTAAGTTAGCATTCATGGCAAAGACCAAGGGGAGTTTGGATTGAAATGAAAACACACATAATTTCATTATTATATTTAATTAATTTAATACTAAGAAGTCTTGAAGAAAGTGTTTGGATGCCGCTTGGGCAAAGACCGGGATGGTCAGGATGGACCGCTCTTTGGGGAAGACCTTTGTTAAGCAGAGGATGAAGATAGGCTGATGATGATATTTATTACAACTACAAAAAAACTTGTAATTATTTAAGAAATTAAAATCTAGAAGTGTTTTTATGTATTACTCTCATATTATATACAGTAAATTTAATTAAATCTATCACCAACTTCTTTTTACACACTTTATATTAGCTTCACTTGTATGTTTGTACCGGACTCCTTTGGACGTGATTTTGACTGACTATAAACGGTCAGAAATCGTTCAAACTTTGTAGATATATCGAGGACCGATGACAGTACACTAATTTAGAAAAAGAAATACTTAAAAAAATAATAGTTTAAAAAAAAACAGAAACCACATGTGCTTTTTACTTTTTACAACAGGCACCCAACGCTTTTTTTTCAAATTTATTAAAATTTATTTTGTATTTTTTAGTTTGGTTTTCCATAAAAAGCGTGTTTTTTAGTTTTTTAAAACTATTGTTTTTTGCATACATAGTTGCTACTTTGTAAATTATAGAAATTAAGTCATCATCATCAACAGCCATGGGACAAACTCAGGGTTACTACTTACTCGTGTGCTACGCGAACGACACACTCGTGATGGCGCGCAGCCAGACGCACCACGAGGCAACCCTGAGGGCCACGGCCGGGGTTGCCCAAGTCGTTGAGCGAATCCGGCGGCTGGGTCTCGAGGTGGCTCTGCACAAGTCCGAGGCCCTGTTCTTCCACGGACTTTGGAGGAAGCCGCCGGAGGGATCTAGCCTCACGGTAGAAGGCACTCGCATCGGCATCGAGCCCTCGATCAGGTATCTGGGACTCGTACTCGATGGCCGATGGGACTTCGGATATCATTTCCGAGGTCTGGTCCCCAAGTTGGTTGGGGCAGCGCGTGCGTTGGCGCGGCTGCTGCCCAACATGAAGGGACCCGATGACTCCTGCAGGAGGCTCTACTCGGGGGTTGTCCGGTCCATGGCCCTTTACGGGTGCCCAGTATGGGCGGGGGCCCTGAAGGCCAGCAACGTCGCGATACTGCGACGACCGCAGCGAGTGCTGGCCATTAGGATCATAAGGGGGTACCGCACGATCACCTTTGAGGCGGCGAGTCTCCTGGCCGGAACTCCACCGTGGGACCTGGAGGCAAGAGCCCTTGCGGCTCTGTATCAGTGGCGCAAGGAGGCGCGGGAGTTGGGTCGGTGTCCCGAGATTCGAGAAATCGATGACCGGAAATCCCAACTCCGCCAGGTCATTATATGGGAGTGGATTGAACGACTCGGGCAACCGAGCGCCGGGCACGCCGTCATCGCGGCGGTAAGACCCGTTATGGAGGATCGGCTCGAGAGGCGTCACGGGACTCATACCGACTGACGCAGGTGATCACTGGGAAAGGATGTTTCGGGGATCACCTGTGTCTGATCCGCAAAGAGCCAACGCCTGAGTGCCACCACTGCGATGGCCAGACCGTGGACACGGCTATTTACACGCTGGCAGAGTGCCCGGCGTGGGTTGAGCGGAGGCGAGACCTCGTGGCGGCCATCGGAGTGGGAGTTCTCTCGCTCGATAGCCTGATTGCGGCTATCGTGCGGAGCGAGAGTGCGTGGAACTCGGCCGTCTCTCTCAGCAAGTTATGCTCGCGAAGGAGACGGCGGAGCGGGACCGGGACAGGTTTAGAACTCTCCCGGCCCGCCAGGCCCGGGAACGGGCCAGGTACCGCAGGCGCCGAAGGTCGCAGAACGACCTCCGTCCTCCATAAGCGCAGGCCTGGGGGTGACAGGTGAGGCCATCTGTCACCCTAGCAGAAGCAGGCCGGGGTGGCGGCGAGCGCGTTCCGAAGCGCGCTCGCTTCCAGGGAGCAGAGGGAACATGGGTTCCCACACGGGGGGGTCGTCTACCTGTTGTTGTAGATGGCCCGAGGTATGTCGGGGCACCAGGGACTTCCTTTCTAGGGTATACCTGGTTCCCCGGCTATTAGTAGCCGAGACGGCGTGCTGTTTTAGTCGGTTCGAGTGCGACATGCCACCGACAGGTGGTATCCGAGGGGATTTCCGCACGAAAAAAAAAAGCGTTACTACTTACGCGTTGTTGCCAATAAGCTGTTTTCAGACTATGCATAAAGACCCTATTTCACCTTTTACCATTTCCTACATAATAATAAAAAAAAAAAAGATTTAGTGTTAAATAGCGTCTAACCGTACCTAGCAACCCTAACCTAAGTACGTAAAAATCGAATGATAAATCTGTTGTTTTGTCCCATGTCTACTGGACATAGTCCTCTCCTTATAAAGGAAGTTTTCCACCGGGCACGTTCTACGTGGAGATTTCATCTTTCTGCTGATTTGCATACATACATTTTTAAACAAAGAAAGAAATGTAAATATTTATTAATAAAATAGCTGTTTTTTTTCTTTGTTTCAGTTCTTGAAAATTTTAATTATAAATTTACACATTAACATCAAACTACCAAAGGCACATAATAATGAATCCAATAGTACTGAAAAACTTCCCGAAACAGTAATAAAATAACTTTTAAAGTCCTTCCGTGCGTGTAGCATCAGCTGATCTGCAGTTGATGATGTGAGTATCACCTTTATTCTGTCGCGCATGCGCAATGCGCAAATAATTGGCTTGGAAATGCCACGACGGTTTTTTATTGTTTACAATATATATAATATATAGTATATTTTTAAGAATTAGCATGCGGGCAAATTAAATTAGCGTAGGGGCAATTTTTTCACGCTTGGTAGAGTAAAAAATAATCATTTTTCAAAGAGATTTGGCTATTTTAATTAGAGGCAAATTGAAAATTATATTTCTATTTTTCCTGTGAAAACGAAAAACGGGCTTATAAATTAATTAACATAGGTCGAAAGGGCTAATTGAGATCTATAAAATGAGATTTTTATTATTTTGAAATTTTAATATCTGCAGGCTGGAACGTACCCGGTAAGTTTTCCTTCTCTTTGCAGTACTTTTGTCCTGTGTAATTTGCTCTCTTAGTCAGATCTTATGATACCAGCGGGATGAATAGGGTTGGTGGCAATTATTTGGCCACACGAAAATTAAGTCGTAATATTTAGATTGCTTTATTTATGTCCAACGATCAGCAGCAGCCTTAGAGATATAACGAAGAGGGAACAAGAGCTCCAATCTTGCAAATAATGGCAACGAGAGAAATGGATAATAGTCCCCTCTTTCTTTTCTGCCGAGCTCTGTGGTTGGCTGGTAAATATGAGAGGTTAATAAGTAGCCAATCGCAGCTTAGCTAAACAGAGACAGAGGAAAAGATCGGGCATCCATCTCTCTCGTTGCCTGTACCGCTTCCACTTACAGGCAGCTGTACCTCATATTTTTCCATGGTTAAATCTCTATGGCAGCAGTAATAAATGATCGGTAAGTGGGAAAAACATATAGAAATTTATCGTTTCGAATTCGACTACTATTGATTCTTCGATTATTCTAGTAGGAGTGGTTCTTAATGAATATATAGTGTTATAAAGTTACAAAAATTAATGTAGGTAATTAAAATATTTTAAAGCATAGTTTAATAATATTTTAATTACCTACATTAATTTTTGTAACTTTCCAGACCTTACTTTATTAATTTCATTTTTGGATACTTTCTTAATAATTATCATTTCATGTACTTTTAAGCTTTGAAATTAAGTAACTCAATCAACATACACCATACAATCATGTAACTTGGAGTTTCGTATACAGCAAATAACCGTGAACATAGGAATCTAGTAATCGATACAAACCCGATAGTAGTCGATACTCAAATGTTAATTACCGCCAAGGCGCCAACGATTACGATAGGTTTTGACAAGTTCTGTTTGATTGTGTTATGGTTTGCTCGATTAATTTAATTTCATTAAAAAGTTTTTAAATTTAGAAAGTTACCATGGATTCAGACGACGAAATCGAAGAAAGTAAGTCGTGGAAAGGTGTTCCAGCTACAATAATATGTATCAATACCTACGATCGAACAAATAAAACTTCAGAAGTGGCTCATGCTGCGACTTGTCGAATGATCCGACAATGTTTACGTTTATCAGGCTCTAACTTTGTGGGAGTATGTCTTTACGGTACTGAAGTTACAAATTCTACAATATTGGGCATAAACAGCGTTGAAGAAGTGTTTCCTCTAAAATTACCAACTCTAGATGATTATCGGAAAATCAAAAACATTAAAATTACGAGTGTGAAACAAGTACCAAATTTGATATTATCAGAAGTCTTGTGGTATTGCAGCAGAGCATTTGCAAGTTGCAAGAGGCAACTTTCATCACGCAAAATTATTTTATTGTCAAAATTGGACATACCACCACTTCAATCGGATCAAAATCATACATTTAAGAGAGTGATTGAATTATCAGATTCTAATATTGATGTAAAGCTTATTAATGTTTCTGAACATGACTATGAGATTGATTCATTTTATAGTGACTTCTTACGCAATACAGATAAAAATACACAAGAGATTAATTTACCGAAACCTGTTTGGGATAAGATAGAAATTGAACAATTATTGCATCAGCAGTCACATCGCCATTTAGCTGTTGCACGCTTAAGCTTTGAAATTGGTGAAGGCTTAGCCATTGGTGTAGGAGTGTATAGCCTTACCAATAGTACTAGCCAAGCTCCGAAAAAGACAGATTTAGATAGAGACACTAATGCAATCCTTACAAGGGTTAACAAAACTGCTAAAATTGCCGTCAAGGATGATTCAAACATGGACATAGATGAAGAACAAGCACCTACACCAGTACCTGTACTCAAATCTGAAGTACTTCACTATAAAACATTTGGTGGAGAGAAAGTGCAATTTACAGAAGATGAAATGAAAATACTAAAGAATCCTTTTGGTCCACCAGTCTTAAAACTTTTAGGATTTAAACCTGCTAGTTTTATGTGTAAAGAAAAATGGTTTCTTAAACCTTGTTACTTTTTATTTCCCAATGAGGGTATAATTGAGGGCTCATTTGTTGCTTTTAAAGCATTGCACAAAGCTTGCATGGAAACTAATGTGGTGGCATTCTGTGTTCTTTCCACAAGAGTAAATTCTAAACCAATGATTGTTGCTCTTTCCCCAACCACCAAACCCTTCGGTCTTGACGTGGATTTAGGGTTTGATGTTATAATAGTGCCTTTTGTAGAAAATGTTAGACCACTTTCATTTGATGATGAAGATTTACAAATGTCCGTTGCAGACGAACAAAAGAACACAATGAAAGAAATTTTAAAGGAGTTGCAGTTTAATTATAAGCCTGAAATGTTTGAGAATCCAAAAGTACAAACACAGTATAGAGCCATAGAAGCAAAAGCTCTGGATGATGATGATGAGGAAGAGGAGGCATTCATTGACACAACAAAACCTGATTTTAGCAGATTCCAAGAGCTTAAAGATGATGTATTTCTAGAACTTTTTGGACCTTTTGGACCAGTTGCAGTTAAGAAACCTACCACATCTAAAGAAAAAGGTCCCACAAACAAAAAACCAAAACAAGAAATTGATGAATCATTATTTCAACACCGTCTTGATAATAATAAAGTAAAAGATTATACAGTTGTGCAGCTTAGAGATATATTATACTCTAAAGATCTTCCAGATTTACCTGCTTTGAATGGTTTAAAAAAGAATGAGCTTGTTGAATTAGTTTATAAGTACTGTAAATAATTTGTTTAATGTTGCTCATTAACTTTTATGTGAATATATTTTTTTTACAAAATGTTTTCTTTAACATATGGTAAAATGTATAAAGGTAAACAGGTAGGAAAGGTAGACAGAATTACATGACACAAACAATCTGTCTGGCAGTAATATAATACAAAACTCGTTCCTTTATTAAATACAAGCTTTTGCCCGGGCGCGTGAATGTCTGTAAAAGTAGCATATATAACTCGCTGATGATGTCGCTTTCCATTGGTAAAAGAATTTTTAAAATAAGTTTAGTGGTTTAGGTGTGAAAGCGTAACAAACCCACTCACATTTTTTTTAATGTTGGAGGGTGCAGGCGAGCAGACGGGTCACCTGATGAAAAGTGACTATCGCCGCCCATGAACGTCTGCAACTCAAGAGTCATAAACGCGTTGCCGGCCTTTTAGGAATGAGTACGCTCTTTTCTTGTAGGTTTGAAGGTCGTATCGGTCCGGAAATACAGCAGACGATAACCCGTTGCACAGATTGGTTGTGCGGGGCAAAAAGTGTCTGGAAAAGCGCACAGTAGTGGAGCGTCAACTATCCAGGTGATGAGGATGAACTGGTATTATTCCGAACAAATCCTCGGAGCACTCTCCACTACTAGCACTATTTTTATATGTTGTTGTTCGTCACCACATTTAAAAATAGAAGTACCAGTCAGCAACAAAGTATAAAAAATCCATCTTTAGTAAAATTTTGCATCCCAAGAATTGATACCAAGAATCAATTCTGATCTGATACTCATCATCACATCACATCCACAGCCAATTGTTTTGTTACCAATGAACCATTCTATTCATCCACCTAGTTGGTCAATTACAAATTTGATTCCTATCAAACCACCTACTGTCCACCTGGGTGGTGGTTAGTTAGAAATATTTGAATTAACCGACCACCTCGGTTCAGTTGATCGGAGTGTAGACAGCTTGATTTTTTGTTAATGTCGAAGGCATAACCTAACCATACATAGGAAATAGATAAGAACAAGGATATTGGACATCTGAATGGGTGTATGGTTAGCGATACTAAAATAAACAATTTATTCAGCAGGGCGATCATCTAGGTATATTCAGAACAAATTATATTCCTAACCAGATGGATGGGTTGAGTGGTCTCTTGGTATCAATACGGTATGGTCTCAGACGAAGTACACATACAGAAATGGGTGCTAGAAGAAAGAAAACAACAGATTAGATCTACAAACAAATATAATTCAGTTTTCTAACATTTTACGATACATAATTTTTATAAATGTACAGGGTAAGCTCATGACGTGGGAAAAGCGGCTTTAGTTCACAACTGGCTACCGGATGTACACGTGGTGCATTTTATAATCATTACTCGCGTCGACGTTCGCCGCCGCTGATATGCTTTCACTTATGGAACAGGTATGACGACTTAGAGCTAACGTGAATGTGAAGATATGGAGTACGTTCCATTTAAAGTGCTGTCAGGTTACAAATCTACATTAGACACCAATGACTAGTATAATTTATAAAAATTACGCTAAGGTTAAGCGTATTGCACTTTAATTTTACATCAGTATGCCAGAGAATGCATATTGTAGCGCCCCGACTAATGTCGGGAGTATCTGTGGTCGACTTCTGTGCGTCCCATCATTAAAGACAACAGAATTCAAACCTCCCGTCGAATTACGCATTTATCATTTGTGCTAATGTTGCGTGTCAATTAGTTTAATTTGAAAAAAAAAAACGGAATACAAGTGTAATTTAATTTAGCATTTCCTACTATACCGATGCATAAAATGTTGACATATCAGTACCAAGAGCGATATACATCTTATTCTATGCATATTTTATTAAATTCTATAAATAAATTCACACAGACAAAATGTAACACATGATATTGATGTAAACATAGATTAGTGACAGTTATTATTGCACGATACTATTAACTACTGGGTTGTTACATGGGGGACAGACAGACATTATGTGGCGGACACGTACGCACCTCATCTGTACAACGCAACAAACACAACACTATAAACACACCGACAAGAAGTATGTATATAGTTACGGCAGGGAATCAACCGAACCTCACACAGCCCAAATTGTTTCTAATTTAAACTGAATCATAAACAGTCATCCACAATACTACACAATAACATCCAATATTATTTTGGTTTTCCAACATTATTTACCATTCGCGTTGTACGTGTAATATCATCGTTCGTGTTTATGTCTAGTTATTTCAATGCTAAATAATGTACATGCAATGAAATAGAGAGTTAATGTAAGTTTGTGTGACTATGACTGTTCAATGTCCGTTGTAACAATAAATACGCATATCTCACAACACATTTCACAATTGCACATTGAAAAAGGCAGTATAAGTTAAAACACGAGATTAACTATAAGTGTTAATGAGAAAGTGTAACTAACGGGAGAATAATAGTCTGGTTGACGTTCTTGTACGAAATAGGCACTTCAAGTGAAAATTTAAGTAACATATTTTGTTAACTAAAAACAAGTATGTTTTTAGTAATACCATGTCAACCAGCAACAAAGGGAATGTATTAGCTACTGCAAGTAAATTGAAATCAGTAGTTAGGATACATGTGTGTAGAGCTCACAAGCAGCAAGCGGAGGCCGACATCGTATCACACTCGGACTTAAATTACCAGTGGAAGATCGACAGCGGTACATTTATTTCACAACTCAACAAGTAACATATTATATTCATTCAATAAAATAAAATCTTCTATGGCATCTGAAATCAATTTGTACACATTTGTACATGGCGTCAAAAACGATACATCTCACCCCTCAGGATTTGACTATATTCCATTAAAATTTCCTAATCTACTAATATTTAAATTACAATAAGAAATGACGAAAACTAACTACTAATATAGTAAATATATACTTAAATATTTAGCGCTACACATGATATTTATGCACTCACCTACTTTGGCTGGATCACAAACAAAAGTAGTGGATGTTTCTAATTCAAATAATACTGGACAGCTCTACCCGAGGTCGTGGGGCACCGCTGGTACATGACTTGTGTCCACTCAATCTGACCGTTACTATTTGTACACCCATTTGTTACTATGGACCTTATACAATCCGCAACGGGACTACTATTTGTTCATTGGGTTTTGTGTTAACTATAAAAGTATTACAAAATTAAAACACCTCAGATCTATTATAATGTAAAATCATTAAAGAGCAAACAAAACAATAGGAACTCTCTACAACAGAAAAGAAGATTTAAATTAATTAAAAGTTAACATAAAACAAATTGCCATTCCCTAACAAAACCACTACGAAACAAACGTACTTAAAATATACTCTGAAACCAAATGTTTCATATACAACGAATGTATTACACCTCTCCATTTAATTTGTCGTTACCCAGTGTGGCTGTAGACCGACTATTGAACATGTTCGAATGAAATTCACAAGTCGTGTAACCACTACATACGTCTATTAGTTAATTTGGCAGATAATAAACTGATCCTCACAATACATTCTCCATATACATATATCGAAACCATTAACCGAGCTCCAAAATAAATAAATTAAAAAAGACAGTGATAGATTTAATCTATTCACTAAAATAAAAATACAACTATATACTTTACCTACTAGGTATATAATTTTGTTATCAATCAAAAAGCCTGTGTCAGTGGAAATATCTTAAGTTAATAAAAATGGCGATAGCTATTGAGAATATCCCAAGATAAGACGTGGCCGAGTGCCGAATAGTATTGCATTGTACCACTCTTTACGTAAAACATAGTTTATGTTAAAGTTAAACTCTAATGCCTTTTAAACTCGAATTATAAATTCTTTTATTGTTATCGTCCGATGGTCTCGCTCTTGAAACGACGACAATCGTAGAAAACAAATAAATATAATGTGTATTAAACGTGTTCATTTTTGTTGCAAAAAATTATAAACATTTAGACACAAACTAGACAATTGTACAACTGAACAGTCTTAGCGAATATTGCATATGGTATTAAATGTTATGGCACAAAAAATGAGCATAATTTCTCTACAAGGATGCCTCTGAGGACTGTGACAAATTGCGTTATTTTAGTATTCACGTTCTACATCGAAGACTGCAAGACCAATATACGTTTCCTGGGAGGTAGAAGGCAGTAACAGAATTCAGAGATATCAAAAGTATGGAGACATCACAAACTTTGTTTTCTACGCGCGCGTCTCGCTCACCCATGTTTCGGTGTGTACCTTACATTTACTTAGCTACTAAGGCATTTATCTATCTAAAATAAGCGTATTTTTGTATCAATGCAATATTATTGAGCGCCCGTTTTTGTAGTATCGTTTCACCTTCCATTCAACGCGTAATCTGTTAATAATTACAATATAACAAATTCAATAAAAATATAATAGTAATGGCACTAACAACGAAATTAAATAACTTGTACTACACACGCATTTTTGTTTTATTCATGTAGTAGTGAATTGCTACAGTTAAACCGTTTTGAAAGCTTTCCTACTATCTCAATAAAACATTTTTGGTAAGATGGTACGATCATAAACTTTTATTGCATTTACATTTTTTTGGGTAAATCATAAGATTTGTGTTAGTTTATAAATAATAACTTCTACCAAAGCAAATGTTTCTAAGAGTTCATAAATTTTGGTATTACTATTTAACGAGCTAAATAAAATTAAAGTGACTAAAACATGCTTTTTATCAATTCAATTAAAGTTATAATAAAACATGGAATAACTGTTGGCCAAAAATAGGATATTTTTGTACCAATATGTCCTACCAAACAAGTATATTAACAACAGATAGATTACGGTGTGTGGAAGGGAAACAAGTGTTTGCACGACGTGTCGGAGTGAAGCGTTCATCGCACGTCGGTGAGGTTGCTCTTGTCGCCGAACAACTTGACGAGCTGCTCCTCGTAGTCGTCGATGTTGCGCTTCATAATCTCCATGCAAGGACCCAGCAGGCGCTCGAAAGTCTCCACGTCCAAGACTGAAAATTGCAAAAATTTACATTACTTAATACCAATTAAAATAAAATTATTACCACTACTAATAAATTTAACAACTTATTTACTAGATTTTGTTAGAACTATCTGCTGATTAATAGGAGTGGCCGTGAGTTTAATTTTAATAAGAACTTGTTAAATTTTGGCAGTTGACTACATAATAACTCATTACTTTCTTGCTGTACAGGTTCGAATAGATTTCTGAAGTGGGAGGGTTGATCGAGACGATAATAACAGATCCGATGTTCCAAACGTGTGTAACTGAATTTAGCTTATCACCGGTCGCGAATTCTGTAGCACGAAATTTGATTTTTAAATTCTCATTTTACACTTGTGTTCTGAGAATTATTAAACTCTATTCAGTGCAGAGATTGCATGGTGTGTCAAGCGACCCTATATGTATTTACCTTATACATATTTTACGCCCAAAGACCGAAAACGCTATTGAGTAAAATAACCAAATAGATTGTGTTCGCGGTCACTGGTGGTTGCGGGCAATTATACATATCATACCACACGTTCTTATGTGAAAAATCTCACGACGCGTTGTGGCAATTAGTCTCTGAAGCCATCGTTGTTAGTTTTGGCATTGTAGTGTAGAGCCAAAAATGTTTGTCTCGACCCTAAGTTATTGGCGGTATAATGACATAATCAGAAAGAACCATGTTTCCGGCTTTTGAAATAAGGGTCAATTTTTTAATCTAACCATACTATGATAAAACGAAAATACTCCTTAGGCTGAAGAGTGGAAAGTCACTTAGTAACAACTAATGATAATGCCTGACATTTAATAAATTGCGGTCACCAACTAGTTTATTACAAAACATTGAATAATATCAAATTATTCTACTACGTAACAGTAAAAGAATGTCAAACATTTCCACGTAAAGCGTTTTACCACTATAATGGTAGGAGGATCTCATCTATTGTAGGTGGAAAGCCCTCAACCTTGTTATTATCTAACTTTGTGGGTATTAGTAAGGTTAGTGAAAGTTAATGATTGATGAAAAATATTGATAGTTAATTTACTTTAAAGCAATACATTGAATTATTTGTCACTTGTTTATTGACTATGTTTTAAACCTGAAATCATGATATTTGTAATAATGTTTAGTTTGTTTATTCCAAAAAATTATAAACGTAATTAAAGAAATTGTTGGCTGCATTAAACTATACTGTGATATAGGGAAGATGTACTACCCATTTACGGAATAAACAAATTTAATTTAACTGTAAAATATCATAAGTTTATCGAGAACGGGAATAATTTAAATAAGGAACAATAACAGGAAAATGTTGAGGTTAATGTATGGTGATAAATACAGAACCACTGCAGTGAGGTTCGACATGACTTTCAAATAAGGTCAGCGGGAGTAAGATGCAATGCAAATAGTTACGATAAAAACGGTAAAAATTGTATAATAAGCATGCTCTCTGTATGTCGTGCTTGTCATCGAATATTTTTTCCTTGAACGAAATAATTTACCTCTGAATTACTATGTCTTTCGATGGTATTGCTTGTGTTACAACTAGAAATCAATTTACTTATTTCATTTTCATATACTACATTCAGTAGGAATATAGTGTGGAACTGTTTCTGGACTTTGTTTTACAAGAATCTTCGTTGAAGAAAATTAATACACTAAGGAATTTAATACATTTTTTTATTTATAAACTCGTAACTAAGACGAAGACTAGGTTATGATATGCATATTTCTAGAACAGTTAAATGTTAAGGATAATGTAACTCAGATTTTATCTATATTTGCCCAGCAGCATAGTCACTATTAATCGGACGCCTAATAGTTAAGTTTTAGGAATAATAGTATAATAATCATCTTAAATCTAACAATTGCCAAGATGAAGAATACTTACAAGCCACCTTAGTAGGTCCTACAGCGTAAGCAGAAGCGGCACGTGGCTTGTGGGTAACCAGCGCCAACTCACCGAAATACCCTCCTGCTTCTGTGGGTGACAAGAGACATATTAAGCTTTGTTCTACATAGAACGTAGTCTACAATCTTTAATCTACGTTTTATTAAAACTCTAGGAAAAATTCGGCAATTAAAATTAATTATTGACAATAAATTGTAAAGTTTCTAGGATTTTTATGTCCGTAAAGCAATTTCAATAAATGTGCAAAACATAGTCTTTTTTTTGTTTAGCATTGCCCGTGTCCCGACAAAATGAATCTCGTCACAGAGCGTGTAATTAGTAACTTACATAGCAATTCAACTAACAAAGCAATTTATGTTATATATACTTCGCACTCGTGTACCATTTAAGACACGACGAAAAATAATGTTATCATTTTAAACTAAAAACCACAAACAAACAGGCTCTCAGTGATCAATTGCAGAATTTATAAAACAGACTCAATACCAGAATACGTTTAACTGTAATAGTGGCTGTAACTAAGACTGAATTGGGGTAATAAGGTTCTTATAATTGTAGTTACACACCGAGGCGCTTGATCTCATGCTCATTTCCATCGTCGCGTGTGATGCGGATGCTGACAGAACCGTCTTCGACGAAGTACATGCCGTCGGCAGTGTCGCCCTGCCGAATGATCAGCTCGCCGTCGATCAGCGTACGCGGCAGCAGGGCATCAGCCAGATTAGCGCGCTCGTACGCCTGTAGCAATACATTATTATATTTTAAATTGTGGATAGAACATATTACACACTGCTTTTACTACTAGTGATTTCTACAGCTTTAACACTGATGTGAATCGCCTTATTTCTTAATTCTTATAGCGGCCAAGCCAGACGAAAACACAAACACCGGGGTGGTCTTTGGTTGGTAAGAATAACCATAAAAACATAGGACATACATCACCGATGGAATTAATTTAAAGCTTGACACCAGATGGGTTTGGAATATCACAATAATAGAAGACGGGATATGAATCATTTTACTTGGTTCAATGCCAAACTCAAAGATGTTAGAAGTTTCTATTCTGTAAATTCGTTTTTTTTTCGAGTGATTAATAATACTCAATTAGTGTAAGTTAATATGCTGCAAGTTGATTCCGTAAGAGAAAGAGTAAGTAAGGTATACCTTGAGATACCATTGAAAGTCAAATGTAGCAATTCAAAGAAAAATATATTTAACAACTAAACTCGGCCTATGTTGTTGATTCACATTATCACGTTTAGGCAGTACGGTCACGTAAATCGCATTTAACGTGAGCATCTAAAAGACTGAGATGTCAGTCAATGGCAGTCTCAAGGCCGGTTGTGATGGAGGTCAATTGTCTGATTCACGAAGGCTCTATTGACAATTATATATATCAGAACGACTAAAACGGGGTAGGAAATACTAATGATCAAGATTAGATGCACAAAGACTATATCTAGCATCGTTTAGATAGAAATGTAATATTTTCGAACTAACTAATATGTTTAGTAATATAACTAATGTAACAAAATTAGAAATAAGAAGTGCCTTTATTTCTAATGTTTTAAACATATTAATTTGGTAACTATAAATAGCTCCTAGATAAAAATAGGATAGATAAGATTTTTGCAATGATAACACCTAGTCTGATTGTATGTCATAGGATTCGAGTAGCATCATAAGTAATATTGATGATTTGAGATAATATGCTCCTTATTCAAACCACTCATGCGAAATACGCCTGACGATGATACAACACACAACCGAGTAAGTTAAATTTCTATGATCACATCTAGTAACTTACCTACGTGTATGATAATACGAGGTAGTGTTGAAACGTCAACACATGTGATTTGAACATGATTAATTATATTTTCGTCTGTTATGAATTAATACGTAAAAACTCAACTCAAACCTTACTTACAATGATATTTATATGTCCCAACCAAACCCGACTTTAAATGTGTTTGTTTATATACTTTGAAATTTTATTGTATATTTCTTATAACGTGTTGTGATTTTACAAAACATGCTAACTAAGTCTAGGGCTTTTTTCCTCATTTATATAAGAAATAAACACTGCACATAAATTACATGAAATTCTTAAGATTTTAACCTCTTTAACCTTTCAAATCAATTTTCAGTCGAGCCGTGTAAATTTTGATGTTGGACGTTTCCGTGTAGCAGTTTGTAAAATCTAATAAACACTTACATAAATAGCCGCAGGTCGTGAAGAAAAATAAAGTCATGAAGGAATCATATCTTGGTAGATATGGAATACATAACATAGTTGTTAAAATGATTATATTTTACGTGTATCCAGTTATAGTCCTAGAATTAAAAAAATAAAACAAAAAGTACACAAATAAATGTATAATTTAAAAACATTACATTCCTTAGTTGCCACCGAAATTTTTAGTGACGTATAAGATAAAAATAATATGACGTATTAAATAAATTCGATAGCAATACATGAATAGAGTAATGCGTCCGGCACCGCAGCTGTTATCTCTCCTCGCTTGTCAAACAATATCTAAGTATAGTATTATTTATTATCTATACGAATCGTCTTTGAGAAGCCTGCGTTGCAATAAAATCTTTATTAGCCAGTTAAATGTTTATCCAATATTTAAAAAATAAAGAAGAATATAATTTAGCACATAAGTTTGTACCCGACGATGTCATATGCCGTTATAGATGACTAGTCTGTGAGAAATTCGTTAGGCAAAGATCCAATTTCTGAACATAATTTCGCTTTGAATATCCCGGGCTACACGAGAGGTATTTAAGGGCATGTCGGGTGTATTTGTGAGAGATTTTCTCCCCTTTTCTTTAGTAGTAGCCGTGCATGAGTGCCAACATTACTAACTCATTAAGCACGCACGGCACACTCGCCCTATTTTCTACCTGAGACCGAACAACTTGCGTGAATTACTCCCACATTCTGACTCTTTTTATGTCCAAATTAGTAACACTTTCAGTGCTAAGAAGGTATTTGACTGAAATAAGTACAGCGTTTTTGTTCTTTAAGCTTATCTAAATACAAGTGTATTGTTTGATTTGTAATATTAAACATATATACTCATAGTTTATTTAAAGGAAAGATATTGTTAAATAAACAGTTAACAATGTCTTTTATTGTATGATCCTTAACAATGTATTATCCTTAAAGCAAATAAATTATAATGAACACATTTAATGAATTGTGTAAATAAAATTCATTTATTTTCACTAAATACAATAGCATAACGTACACATATATTACAACTGGCGATCCGCCCCGGCTTCGCACGGGTGCAATGTAGACACTACTAATGTTTTGTCAGTATGTCGTAATAAATTATACTATTGTTATGATACGATCATACCACAATACATCTTTATATTCAATATTTAAAGTCCCGCTATGGACGCACAGCCCGATGCGGCGGCGGCCGCATTTTAAATCTCTGATATCTTATAGGTAGTATAAGGTATTCGTTTGAATGACATGTTGTGAAAGGCAATTTTGATCTACATTAATTGCACAACGTATCTAACGTATTTATTTCGATAAGGAATAATACATTATTGTTCAAAATGGCCTCGCAAATTGCCCATTATTTTTGTAATATGTATAAGATAAAAATGGTTACTGTTAAGTTATCCTTAGGAGATAGACATATACCATCGCGGACTTTTTTGTAGATCTTTTTACGATAAACAATTCCATAAAATTGCATTAAAACCCGTTGCGTAGTTGCGTAGTAAATTAAGACAAATACTTGTGACGTAGATACATACAGGATAAGCAAATAAATATTAGGAGTGCATGATTACGCAGCTTTGGTGCTAAATTCTTAAATATTTTCATAATAAATAACTTGAATACATTTGCTAATATTAAAGTGTATAAGAATAGATAAAGCAGTAGTAATTGATTCTAATAGGAGTCTCTCCGGGCGTTAATTTTACTTAATAGTTTCGCTTTTACGATCTTTAAACCCAACTATGCCTGGTGCCTGTAACGTGTAGGTATTTAACTGAAGATCTGACTTTTTTATAAACCATTCTTTGCTAATGACTTTATGATATAAAGTCCACTCTGATTCGGTGAAGATTTTGTCTTGTTTTACTACTCGGTAAAAAATAAAACGTACCTAACTACCTACTACTCAAGGTCGGAACTGGAAATCGCAACTATTAACTCCTATACTTTTTGAGTAGGCTCTACAGTTGGGATTGATCAAAGGTGTTGATAAGATCGTTGAGTGATATTTGTTTTATATTTTAATAATCATCATCATCAATTGCCTTTACTAGTCTACTGCTGGACATATGCCTCTCCTCAGAAAGGAGGTTTTATATTTTAATATCAAACAGAAAATAAAGTAAATACAAAAAAATTACGGATACACTTCTGACATAAATAAATAACTACAGAGGAAGTATAAGTAGTACTTTTTTTGTGTGTGATTTAGTGTTTAAACGCTACAAACTATGGTCGATAGCTATGACCGGGTGGACGTTGGGTGCTGATATCGGCCCGAAAATAATCTTAGTTCAAATCAGTATTAACTGATAAGTATTATCACGTTACGTACGTTAAGGATCATACGACAGCGAACTCTATTACACATTTCCAACTTTTATCACCCACTCCTCGTTTAATTGCATCTTATGAATTACGATTGGTATAGTTTTTATTAATATAGTCTCGATAATATCGTCATGAGTGTGCTATTAGTTATTTGGATTTATATTGACATCTTCTTTGTTCGATTTCGGATTCGGATTTTAACATAAATTGGTACTGAAAGCTCCGTTGGGCTACAAAGTCGATAATAATACCATAAATTTGTGTGCTTTTATCATGTTAGAGGGAGCAGACGAGCAGACGGGTCAACTAATGGAAAGTGACCATCGCTTCCCATGAACGTCTGCAACTCAGGATTCACAAATGATCAGGATAAACAAATTCAATTCGATAACGCTCTTTCCTTGAAGGTCATATCGGTCCGGAAATACCACAGACGATAACCTGTTGTGCGGGGCAAAAAGTGTCTCGCAAAGGGCACAATAGTGGAGCGCCAAATATCCAGGTGATGAGGATGAAAATTTTTGCGTGTGGAACAATGGCGGAAAGTTGCGGCTGGTATTAGTCCGAACAATTGCTCAGAGTACTCTACATGATATATGCGATATAGAGAATGCAGAATGAAGCCACATCTCTGCGTAACGCCAAGGGATCGAGGCGATCGGAGATTTTTGGGCTATCGACGATTCGAGTCGCTCTTCGTTGGATGCGGCCCAGAGGGAGAAGCTACTGAGGTGCCCCTGTATAGAGATAAGAACAGTACTCCATATGCGGCCGGACTTGCGCCTTATAGAGCTGAAGGCGGTGGGCCGGAGTGAAATACTGCCTCGATCTGTTCAGCACACCAAGCTCTTTCGAGGCCAATTTGACCTTACTCTCTAAGTGACCATGAAACTGGACTTCGCTCGATGTGTCGATGCCTAGGATTCCGATGCTGGTTGAGGCAGTTAGGAAGGTGCTCTCAAACCGAGGTGGTACGACAAATGGTATCTTCAGGTATCGTTTTTTATGCGTATACTATTCTGTTAGTATGAAAATGTAACTGTTTTCAAGGCTAAACACACTGTTTGTTTATGCTAAACCATATGGGAAACTATACGCGTATACCTGCAAAAAACTGATATTGTATCTTTTCAAAGTTTAAAACAGCAAAAAAATT